ACTAGGCCTCTCAGCCCCTTAAAGCTGCTCCGTATTCTATATCAAAGCAGATCATCCACCGCAGCACATAATCCTGTGCTAACTCCTAATCGCTTGCTGTCTTGAACTTATCAACAACTGAGCTCCCACCACCCTCTGAAGATTCCCCACCTTCTGAATGAAGACATTTCTCCACCTTCCAGTCCTAAATGGCTTGTTTCTTATTCTGAGACTATCTCTTGCTTTGGACCCAATAGCTTGGAAAAATATCTTTTGCGCATTGATCCTGTCCAGTCCTTTAAGAATTTGATAAGTATCTATGAAATTGTATGTCTAATCTTCAAATCTTCAGAGAGTGGAGGCCCAGTATCCGCAATCTCTCCTCAAAGGACAACTTACCACCTCAGGAATCAGTCTGATGAACCTCCGCTGCACTCCCTCTATAGTGAATATCGATATTTTCTAATCAACATATTCAGAGATGTTATTACACACCTATGGAGCAGATAGAACTTGAACCAGAGTCTGCTGACTCAGAGATAGGGTGACTACCACTGGAGCACAAAAGCCCTCCCCATGGTAAGTATATCCTATCTTAGGCATGGGGACTAGAATTGCACACAATGCTTCAAGTGCTGTCCCACTTGTGTTCTATAGAATAGAAACAAGACATATTTGCTTCTCTACTCAAATCCTTTTGAATAAAGGCGAAGATATCATTTGCCTTCTGAATTGCTTGCTGCATCTGCATGTTAGACTTTCAATGATTTAAGAACAAAGTCCCTTTGGACACCAACACTCTCAATCTCTCAACATTTAAAAAAGACTCTGCACTACTACTCCTCCTATCAGAGCGGTCAACCACACATTTACCCACACTGTGTGCCATCTGCCATGTTCTTATCCACTCACTCAGTCTGACTATATCCCCTCTTTACACCTTCTCACAATTCATTTTCCTACCATGTTTTATGTCAAACTTGGACATTTTACAATTAGCCCTCACCTCCAAATCATTCATCTAGATTGTGAACAGCTGGGGCCCAAGGCACTGAAGCTTGTGGGATGCCACTTGTCTTTACCTACCAACTTAAGAATGATTCACTTATATCTTCTCTGTGTTTTTAGCTGTTACCCAATCCTCAAATCATGCTCAGTGCTTTGATTTTATTCAGTAACATTCCGTGTGGGCCTTTTGAAAATCCAAATACATCACATCCACTGCTTCTCCCTTATTGCTTCTGTCAATAAGCTCTTCAACAAAATGTATCAAGTGCAGTAATCATGATTTCACCTTCATAAAACCATGATGACTAGATTACAACCAGGTGAGAAGGAGTCACCTCCTGTCAGTCAGTAGCAATGAATACTTTACATCTTTTCTTTTTTTTAAACTAAACAGTAACCATACTTCAATTAACACGAGAATTTATTTAGCAAAATAAAATGGAATTTATTACTCCTGCAAAAGAAAGCAACAAACACTAACAAATAGCAGTGATCAACTTACAAACTAAGGGTAAGTTGGGATATCTGGTTCAGACTGTAAGACCCAAAGTTCTCAGTGAATAGCAGGTGTTGATATGCGAGTGCTTTATCTAGAAGTAATTTGAGCTTGAAGTTGACAGAGGCAGAAAGCTCTAGCTTCCAGTTCTAGCCTACAATCCATTTTCCAGTTGCAATTGAAGATCCTTGTATAGTTGTATATTCCTAAGTTGCCCACTGTTTTGCCAAGCTGAAAGCCATACAGAGAAACTTGTCATCTCAATTTGCAATTTCTAGAAAGATGTGAATTGACAGGGAGATGCAGATCTAAGTTTCAGTGTCCTTTTAAACAATGTTAATTCTGGCTCAAATGCAGTGCCATCAATTCTGCCTTTTTAACTTTATACTGTATTTTGACCTAGGATATTCAAAGCCTTATTTCTGCTGCTTTCCACTTTCATTTACAGTTTTTCTACTTCCCTTTACTAGCTTTGATTTTTCTTTCAGGTTCCCAATCCCTGACTAGTTATTTTAAACCCTCCCCAATAGCACGAGAAAATATTCTTACGAGGTAATTCATCCTGGTCTTATTGAGACGTAACTTATGCATCTTGTATAGGTCCCACTTGGTCCAAAAGCTGGTCTCAATACCCCCGAATTAAAGCTCTCTCTCTCTCTCCTGCATCATTCAGCCAAATGTTAATTTGCTTAGTTTTACTATGTCCATAATTACTGCCATGTTGTACAAGTCTGAGATTTCTGCCTTAGATGTCCTGCTGTCTAAGCTCATCTGCAGCTTCCTAAATTCTGCTTTCAGGACTTCAACTCTCATTCTCATTATGTCGTTGTGCAACTGTGGACCACAATCTCTGTTCTGCCTCTGAAAGAAGGTGCTGCAAACGTTTCATAACATTCTTGACCCTAGCACCAGAGAGGTAACATTACAATCAATGCCAGAGAAAGATGTGTCTGTTCCACTTACTGTTGAATCACTTATCACTATTGGTCTCCACTTTTCTTCCTTTCTACTGATGCAGCTGAGCCAATTGTGATGCAAAATAATTGGCTCTTGCTGCAGTCGTCTGAGTTCCAAACTGCACAGCACAAGTTTTTGCAGCTGGAAACACTTCCTGCTCATGTGATCATGTGGTAATGAACTGATGGGCCAAAGGGCCTCTTCTGTAATGTATGATTCTTGGCGATGAGAAGTATCCAGGATTCCCTAAACAGCACAAGGTCTATGCAGCCAAGCTGACATACCATGTCTTTACTTTCTGACTATTTACTTCAAATTGAAGACAGGAAAGTAGAATATAAGTTTATTCACCAATCAGCTCCAGAGGATTCTGTTGTGCAATTGGTAAGAGGATCACAAGATGCCTAACACATGGTCACACGTTACACTGCTCCAGGTAAGAAAAGAAGACAAGCGAGCCTTGAAATGATCCGGAAGCAGCTGTTCTTTTTAAGGTACTCCTTGCATTTATTATGAATCTTTTTCAGTTGATTTCGCAGAATAGAAGTGCAGAATGAAACTCAGAGGCAAAGGCAGACCTTATACAAATGTAGGTGAGAACCCCATCCTGACTTGATGGGCCCCTCCATGCTGAACCACAGCCATTTCCCGCAACAGAGCAAGCCATACACCAACCAGCCCCCACATCAACTGTAGGCACTGGGAGAGAAATAATCTCTCATGTATAATCCCAACTAAGTTTATTTGGGGTCTCATTTGGTACAAACTTGATGAATGTGAAATCATGAGATAAATATTTTACTTTAACTCTCTTGTAATGCATTCTATAATTGTTTGCTTGATTATTCTGCACCAGTGAGTCTTTACCAGACAGTGAGCACTTTAAGTGGAGGGTATGAAAATATGTGCACAGAATCACGCGCCATGTTTTTAGAGATAATCCTTGTCATCTAGGACAGATCCACAAAGCTATTCAAGTGTTCTGAAGAGCTGAAGGATCAAGGAATATCTCAGGATAAACTCACTGCATTAGCTTCTCAGGAACCTGACAAACACTTGCAGGATCCTTTTGCTGTGGTTGCACCCTGGAAAATGGCTGTTCACAATGGGTCCTAGTTGTGGGAGCCTTGATGGTTGTATGCTTGCAGTTTGTAGGCCCATCCTGAGGGAATCCTCCATAACCCTGAATTCAAGCAGTCTTTTAGTCTGCCTGGGCAATACATGATATATTGCCCAATCCTCTGGTACATGGCCTCACTCACCTGCTTGATGCAGCAACTGGCCACTGATTCCACAATCCATCATGTCTCCACATGGTCCCTGGAATGAACCTGAGAAGTACACTGAGCCCCATGGTCATCTTCATTAACATAGGCAACAGGTGGCCACTACTTTCCACTGGGCTCACCTCCTCTCCCAGCATTGTACTGGTATCATCTGCCTTAACAAATGTATTCTTCCACTGATGCTTCAAAATCTCCCTGAACTAAATCTCTACCTGTGAAACTATTCAGTACGGTAGCACTTTCTATGAGCATTAGCCAGTATTTATGACCCTATGTACATTACTCATCCATGTCCCCTCATGAGGCTGATGCTCCTCTTGGCTGCTGCAGCCATGTTTCATACGGTAACATCTGTCTGTCTGTCTGTCTGTCTCTCTCTCTCTCCCTACCTTCCCCCCGCCACCAATGTCCGCCTCACTGGAGGAGTCGGACTCTGAGTACAAACCACCCTTTGTGAATTGGAGCCCTCAGGGTTTGGAGATTCTCCTGAACACAACCTGTACTAGCTGAAGTGGACCTGGAAGAGACCGTTACACATTAGGTGATAAGGCTCACATTTTGCAATCGCTGCAATTTATTAATCCTTTGCCTTCCTGTTTCACAATACAGACTTATTTGATGACTGCCACTTCCAGCTACCAATGGCATCACTAGCCTCTCACTATCTCGGAAAAGGAAAATTTAAACAGCATTTCAAAATCACTGATCTTAGAGATCTGCTCTTACAGGTAACGGAAAAGTCACTAAACTAATAATGCAGAGGTCCAGGATAATGCTTTGAGGACATGAATTCCCATTCCATCATTGCACATGATGAAATCTGAATTCAATTAGAAGAAACAGTGTGGAATTAAAAGTCAGCCTAATGCCAACCATGTAACCATTCTCAATCGTCATAAAAGCCCATCTGATTCATTCACTTTAGGGAAGGAATATTCCTTTTAGGGAAGGAAATCCATGGTACTTATCCAGTATGACCCAAGGCACTGTGTTTTTGTCTTAACTGACCCCTGTCGTGGCCTTAACAAACTACCCAGTTCAAAGGGCAATTAGGAATGGACACTCAGCCAGCAACACCAACATCCCAAAAAAAAAACACCCCATCCACCATTTTAGTGGCCTGCATTTCCAAGCCTGTAAATATTTCAGTAAAATTCCACATATTCTTTTCCTGTTATATTCCAAAATAATCTACATAAATGCAATTTGAATTGAAAGACATATTCTTCATCGGAGTAGAAGATAACACTTTTAGAGTACATAATAATCCCTACCTCTGCCCATTCATGTGAGCCGATTTTGCCAAAAACACTTCCTCCCCAGGAACTAAACAAAATAGTACGATTTGGTCGCCATCTTTTCTTCTGAACCTGGGACATCACAGACCTGATTATTTCAGTAAGTATGGAAGTACTGCTGGTCCAAAGTTCTTCACTGTTGCCATGGTGACTGCCAACAATGACATATTTATCTGGAAATAGAAATATATTGTACTGTTCACTGAATGTTAGTAAACAACTCTTCACACATGAAACACAGGAAATACATTAATGTTTTAAGTTCAGTGACCCCTTTGTCAAAACTCAAGTACAACTGTATTCCTCAAAACATCTCACTTGTCAAAGAAAATATTTTGCCTATGCTATCATCTGCACTTACATGCTATGCAAGTCAACTAATACACAAGGTCACCAAGAAAATTATCAGTAATTAACAAAACAGTGTGAAAACTCCAGTTAGTCCCATTTTGTTAGTCTCTGCACATGCATTGCATCCATTTTTTAAAAATTTACACAGTTCTCCAATTAAAAACACACACAGTGTGTTTGCCTAGTTTTCTGACATCTGCTCATTCCTAGAGTGGTGTTCCTTTTCCAGGAAGTTTCATTCCTTTGGCATGTACTGTTGTCTATTTCTGTTTCTGAGAAATGGTGAACCTCTGGGACTGATGGTCATTCTATAGTCTGTGCAGGTGGTGAGGTC